TGCAATTACTTTGATAGTGAATATATATATATATATATATATATACACACACACACTATATATTTGAGTGTTTCAATTTTAGTTTTTTAACTTTAGTAATTAAATTTTAGCTTGATATTTGTTTTGTTACTTTGAAAATCTTGATTTAAAAGATTGACCTCTCCGATTGAAATCCTCGATCAACATGATCATTATCGTGGATTTGAACATTTTAAAATTTTATATTTGAATTGGGGATATTTAGTTTTGTTAGTTTAAGCTTTTCAAAGTATAAATCATGTTGACTCATATCCTTCTATGTACAAGAATCAGACTGTGTGATTGGATTTATAAATTCTTATTTTAGGATTTAGATGTTTATTTTGAAATTACAGACTCATCGACTTTAGTCCTTAAGAGAAGGAGGATCATACTAGTTGAGTAGGACTTATAACATTGTCATAAAGATAAAACTATCTGATTAACCCGCGCAACATTTTCAAACCTAGTAATTGAGTGTGTAATATATTGATTGGAGCACATGCGGGCCTTTAAACTTATGTATATTTGACAATTTTGGACAACTTGCATGTCTTAATGCAATTTATATGATTTAAAACATGGATTGAATCAAATATTGCTTTAAATGACATCTTTACAACTTTAAATTACATAATTTTGTCTCATTTGATCATCTATACATTGATACATATATATTCACCTTGATATATATATTTGACAATGTTGGACAACTTTGCATGTCTTAAGGCAATTTATATGATTCAAAACATGGATTAAATCAAATATTGCTTTAAATGAGATCTTTACAACTTTAAATTACATAATTTTCTCTCATTTGATCTTCTATGCATTGATACATATATTCTCACCTTGATATATATATATATATTTGGCAATGTTGGACAACTTTGCATGTCTTAAGGCAATTTATATGATTCAAAACATGGATTAAATCAAATATTGCTTTAAATGAGATCTTTACAACTTTAAATTACATAATTTTCTCTCATTTGATCATCTATACATCGATACATATATATTCACCTTGATTTTCTTAAAAAATTGCCTTCGATTCGTTTGGAAGCATGTGGTGATAGTGATTTAAAAGCAAACTTAGCTCCCTAGTTTAAATTGTAATATATATATGGTATGAAATTCATATGAATGATTCAAACATCAAATGAATTAAGAATGGTTTACTTAATACTCTCTATTTTATGTAATTGTACAAAACACGCTTATATAAATTAGAGCGAAATATACGAATAAAGCACCTCCCTCTGATGATCATCTTTGGGGGAGGACGCCAACCCTTTGGCTTGAAAAGACAGTATGCGGGAGAGATATGCTCCGTCGTTTCATATACATGTAACCATTTATCAATTATTTTTACAAATGCATATCTCCCACCGAAGGGGGAACCCCTACAATGAGTCGATGGTCGTCACGACGTTAATCAACAACTACCAGGTGAGTAGTATTCTCGTTGATATAGCGAGTTCAGTCAATGTTCTGTTTAAAATGATGTTCGATAATATCAGCCTGAAGACCGATCATCAGTTGGCAGCACCAACCGGTCAGTAGTTTGGATTCTTCAGGGAAAGGAAGGAGGTGTTGGGCCTCATTGCCCTAGCTACCTCTTGGGGGGAACGAGGAAAGCAACACTACAACACAAAGGATTTTCTCGTTGCGGAATCTCCACCGACCTACAACGTTATCTTTAGATGATCACTCCTGAACAACTACCAGACGGTGATTTTTATCTACCATGTGGCTGTAAAATTTCTGGATGACGGGGAGATCAGAGTCCGAGGGAACTTGGAGCAATTTAAAAGGTGCTATTTTCGAGTGATCTCAAAAGTTGACCACAAACCACTAAATTTCCAAATCTAGAAGGAGGGGTGTCTTGAGACCAGTGAGGCCATCCTCCAGGTTCCTGTGTCTGATGAAGAACCCAGTAAGATCCTCTTAATCAGAGAACATTTTGATGAAGGGTCAATAAATCAACTGATACGGACGCTCCAGGAGCATTGGGAGGTGTTTGCTTGGACTACAACAAAAATGCTTAGTGTTTCAATTGATGCAACATCCGTCGACTGAACATTAGCCTCTATTCTCGGCCGGTCTAGTAGAACATTTGGTTGATCACCATAACTCTGGCCGAACCAATAATGGTGGAGGTGCAGAGGCTACCAGACGCTAGCTACGTCCGCGAAGTCCGGTACCCAACTTGGCTCTCAAATTTCTACAAGCGGCAGCGCGAAGTCCGGTACCCAACTTGGCTCTCAAATTTCGTGATGATGAAGAAAGCGAACTACAAGCGGCATATTTGCGTCGATTTAACCAACCTCAAAGCTGCTAGCTCTAAGGACACCTATCTCTTGCCGAAGATTGACACATTGGTGGGCGCAAAATTAGATGCTCAGTAATGAGTTTCCTTGAGGCTTAGCTCGGCTACCACCAAATAAAAATTTACATGACCGACATGGAAAAAATGACGTTTGTTACTACAAAAAACATATTTTGTTTTAATAATGCCCTCTGTGCTTAATAATGCTGGGGGACCTATCAACGTCTGATGGATGTAATTTTTTTCTAAAAAGAAAGGGAAGAATATTTTGGTGTATATAGACAATGTTTTAGTTGAGAGTAAGTTAGCTGAGCAACACATTGAAAATCTAAAGGAAACCTTCAGAACACTCAAAACATTCAATATAAGATTAAACCCCTCCAACTACACCTTCGAGGCGTTGACCGAAAAATTCCCCGGCTTGGATTATTTCGACCATTGATAGGTTGAGGGGTGTCAAATCTTACATTTCCCAATAAACATGTGGTCTCTCATAGTATTGAGTCGATTGTTGGTCAAAGCACAACTTTCTGTCATGTCGCCCTCGATCATTTCTCCGCTGAGACTTGTTGTGGTCGGTGGAGGACTGATTGTCCTTGACCTTCCGTGATTCACCCTGTTCTTTTCACTTCTTTGAGGGATGGTATGGGCGACTTTGACTTACCCTTTGGGGAGCCCTGAAGGTCTTCTTCGGCGAGTATGTGCTCATTCGTCATCTTCAATACCTCTGCGAAAGTAGTAGATTTAGGTTATACCTGAGCCGCTTGCGTCAGACTTCTCTTTTCAAAGCTATTTCGGCTATATCAGGCTTTAGGTCTCTAACTTCCAACATCTTATTCTGGAAGCAGGTGATGTAGGCCCATAGGCTCTCATTTTCTCCTTGCTTGAGGTTGAGCTGGGTGTCAAAGTCTTTCCTTGATTTTTGTACATTTGAGAAGTGAGAAACGAAGTCTTTTAAATTTGTAGTAACTTTGGATGGTTCGGTTGACAGACCGTTGAACCACCAAAGGGCTAGCTCATTCGGGGGCACATTATGGGTTATCGATCTGGAGTAAGCTGACAGATGACTCGAACGATGTTACGCGGTCGGTCGGGTCGGTTATCCATTGGTAAGAATCTTAGTGAGAGATCCTTAGCTTGGGTAGGGTTACCGTCGCTTTGATTTGGCGAATAAAAGCCCCTCCTGCGAGCGGTCAGACAGATATTCACATCTGCTCTGCCCACCGCCTGTTCGCCTGTGTTAGTGTGTTGGAGCTCGCCTTGTCCCTCTATTCGCTGGTTGCTGGCTTGGTTGTCTGGAATAGGTGGGTTCCCCCGTATGGCCCTTTGGGGACGGGCATGCTGAGGTTCTATTTTCAGACGAGGCATCTGGTCGTTCCTCTGAGTTATTGCTGCCCAGAGGACCTGAAATTCCTCCATAATAAGGGTCATTTCAGTTTGTAGGCCCTTTACTTATGCACGGGAGTTCAATTGAGTAGCATCTCTACCGGTTTCATGTGTAACATCTCTTTTTTGGGAAGTTTTTCCTTCGTAGTCTTTTCCACTTCTCGTTTATGACATGATCCACGCTCGCCCCACCACATTTTAAGATGTTGAATGTTAAATTGTCATTTATGAACAAGCCCCAAGAGTTAGAACCATCGAATAAGGAATGAGGGCAAGAGAGTAGAATAAGTTCAGAATTTCCCATAGAGAAACTCGGGAGAGGTCTTTTATTCGTATATTTACCTACAATTTATAAATGAATTTTTTGTACAATTAAAGAAAGAAGGGAGCAGTTATGGAAACCGCCGCTCTTAATACAATCGATGTTCGAATCAATCATATGAATTTCATGCCATATAAGTATGACAATTTGAATTTTAATATGGCGGTAATGGGCTGACAAACTTGCTTGAATTCAGTCAATTGGGGCGACCGACTGAGTGACGACTGCGCCATGGCCTGGTTGGTCGGTTGAGTGTCGATCTCGTGTGTAGCGACAAAAGTGGGTCAGCCGGTTGGCAGCGATCAAGGGTTTCTGTCTGTGCTCTGGTCGGTCGAGACTGCAGTCGTGATCTGCCGTTCAAACCTCTCGTCATAATGTGCAAGCCGATCTTTGATTACACAGTTGGTTGTGGGACAGTAAGACACCCCAATTATTTGACTGTCATGAGGGTCGTTCATTTGCTTTGAGATCTATGTAGACAACTTTGGTGACTGTCATGAGGGTCGTTCATTTGCTTTGAGATCCATGTAGACAACTTTGATTTATACAATATGTAATGTTTGTTAGGTGTGGAAAATCTTTCATTTCAATGTTTTTTCACTTTCTATCCTGCCTCATTAAGATTGATGCTTTGCGCATGGAAATAGATGAATGGATGGTTGAGATGCACAATCGGCTAAATCACAGCCGCCCAATCACACACCCATTCTCTCTTACGGTGCAACTCTCGGCACAGTCGCCGTGCTCCGTGAGAAGGAGAAGAGGTGGGGGACGACGAGAGGCAAACAATCTTCAGCTCTGTGCTCTCTATCTCTAACTCCTCTGATCAATCGGAGCTGTACCAGATCTTACATCGCTCCTTTCCCGTGTCAATGGAGATGAACACAGAGCCGACCTCCAACGGCGACGCCACCGCCGCCGCCGCTGCCCAC